ATTTTAATGTAAAAAGAAATTTAATTTATTTCAACCAGTGGCATTCATGCGGGTTTTACATCGAGTATTTTTGACTGACTTCTCTCAAAAACATAATTTTCAAAATTTTCATTCTTTTGTAAACAATTTTGATTTTTTGATTTTTTTTTTCTCTGACGCATAGTTTTTGCTTTTAAAAATTAATTTTACTTCAAAGTCAAATCGTTAAAAATCTGACTGCTGTGTGGAAATCGTTTATGCATCGGCTGGAAGGAAATTAAAAGGTAACCAAACAATTTTTTTGTACATCAAAAAATTAATTTTTATGTGTATCAAATTTCATAAACATATCTATAATAACATGAGAGTTATTGTGATAAAAAATATATTTTTAGAAAATTTCACCACCCTGTTATCTCAAAAGTTAGGTATACCGGGTGCGTCTCAAAAGTGCCTCACCCCTATAACTTTTTTATTTTTTTAGATAAAAAACGAAAGTTCGTATGTTGTTAGTACATGACATAAATTGGGATTGATTGACGCATTCAATTGTTTTTGGTCACTTCCTGAAATGACTACAACTTTTGATTTTTAAATGGCACCCCCGGTATATTTTTACTTTATTCAATAGAAAATAATATTCTGAATAGAATGACGTATCATATGTCAACTTTTGACACTCTCGCTTAATAAAAAATTGTATGTTAAATTTCAAGCTACAGTGCTATGGCTATGTTGAAAACACTAATTCTTAATCAAGGAGTCTTGGAAAATAGATTTGATGGTCTAATGTTTTTAGTGTCTTATCCTGGCCGGTTAAAAAATGCCCAAATCGTATTTTTAATCATATCTCAGTTTTTTCAAATGGAACGAGGGTGGCTCATTAGCATATTTGGAAAAAGCATTTTTTTACAAATAATTTGATACCACACACTTGGTATTTCGAGTCAAAAAAATTTTCGTTACAAACCGCAAGTTATAATTTCAAATAAACCATATGCAAAAATGTCAAAAGTTGACATATGACATGTCACTCTATTCAGAGTGTTATTTTCTATCGAATAAAGTAAAAAAATACTGAGGGTGCCATTTAAAAATTAAAAGTTGTAGTAACTTCCGGTGAAACAGGAAGTGACCGAAAACAATTGAATACGTCAATCAATCCTAATTTATGTCATATATTAATACACCAAATCTCGTTTTTTTAACTTAAAAAATAAAAAAGTTATATGGGTGAGCCACTCTTGAGACGCACCCGGTATATTCATATAAGGTTTTTTTATACCTTGTTTTTCGTAAATAAGTAGAGAGTATATTATATTTTTAGAAAACTCATAATAAGGTAAATAAAATTAAAAAAATAATATAAAATTTTCCAACTTCGAAGTTATAAGACATCCGAGTTAAGAGGGGAGTCGAAAAATGAATCATTTTCAAATTCGCCCTGTATTTCCGGAAATAAACGGGCTAGGACAAATAATCTGTGTGGCAGCATCTTTATTTTAATAAAAAGTAGCACAGTGACGTGAAAAGCGCATCTTTGTACCTCTCCTCGTAAACGAGAAACCCTGCAAAACACATGAAAATTAAAAAAAGAAATAAGAAATACACTAAATTTGAAATTATTAAAGAATAATCATAACTAAACATCCTTCGATAATTAATTTCGTTTGTATTATTGACATAACCTCCGATATTTACTCCCAAAAGATTAATAAAATCAACAAAAACACAGAAGAAAACCGAATTTTTATTGGCATTTCATAGCCGCAATCAGAAGAATTGATTTGCTCGAGAAAATACCTAAGAAAAATAAAAACCAACTCGAGTGAGAATTCAATATTTCCGTTGATGATCGATGTTATTATAGAAAAAAAACCTATGCATATCGAATGAGATCTATCATTGGCCGTCGATGTCGTAATTTCTCGATGCAATTGTCAGCGCTGTTGTCATACACTACACTTCCAGTTCTATTATGTCCGACAATTTGCAATTTAACCCCCTAATTTGAGTTGCTGGAAGTTGGGGAGGGGGAGCTTCCAGAAGACTTTGCACATTACTATGGAAATGAGGAGAGCCTTTTTGAGGAAAAATTTATTATTAAAATATTGTCTGGTCTTTTTGAGCTAAGAATATAAAATATATATCTTTTAAAATTAAATTTTTAAAACATTTTTTAAAAGTTTTCTTGGATGTATAATGTATATTATAGTTAAATATTGCATAAGTTACACTATTTATAACCCTGGAACGCCTGGCCCGAATATAATGGTCTCTGATTTCTGAATTCCTATGGGGCGGGCATTTTAATGTAATTTCAACAGACGTCAACGGTCTTTATAGACATACATATCTGTTGAAAAGTGTTCATAAAACTAAAGTGTTCTTGAATAGTAGTATTTAGATATTTTAAATAGTTTTTTCTTTCTTCTTATAAATCATCGTAACAACAGCTATTTTAGAAACGTCTAGGTTTTACTTATTTCACTGAGATTTATGAAAAAAAATCCTTTGCCTCGGATACAGATACCGCCACGTTTTGGAAATAGTTCAAAACAAAACAAAATTAAACGAGACAACAAAAAACGACAAAAAAAATCCCCTCGCACCCTCCTCACGAGTGGTTTTCAGTGCTTTTAAGAATCGAAAGTAGGTCGAGGCAAACCGAAATGGGTCAAGGCAACTGGAAATAAATCGAAATGCGTCAAAGTTGGCTCCACGAAATGCGACCTTGACATGTTTCGAAGAGTTTCTCACCTAGTGTAGACGCTGTTTTACCTACAGCAGTAATGAAACTAACACAAAAAACAATACAACAGACAACTAAAATAAAAAAATATATATATACAGGGTGTCCCAGGCTGAGCGTGCATTAGAAGTTTCTAGAGAACTACAACATCTAGCTCGGAGATTTTTTGCATATCATAGTTTCACAACAAGATCTATCGATTAAAAATAATTTCAATATGGCGGCACTTCCGGAAGTACCGAAAGTTGACAGCAACTTTCTTATTTTAAATAAGTGTCCCCATTTTTTATTATGTACTTAAATTCTCTGTAAAATTTTATGAATTTTGATATTAAACACTATATATCTAACATTAACCGTTTTTGAGAAAAAAAATATTTAAAATTTTTGAACGAACGAACTGCCTGTCAAAAATATGTGTATAGCCTAAACGTCAAATTTAGTGATTACCACAGCCACTGTGCCATAAAGAGAAAACATGTAGATATCTATTTCAAAAATTAAATTGTTCAAATGTCATATACTAATAGCCGCAGCTATCATAGAATTGAGCGATTAAAAAAATATAAATCATTTTTTTCAAACGGAAACCCACTTTTTTTATTTCACTAGTGAAAAGGCTTTTCAATTCGTTACTTTTTAACTGTGTATGTTCCTATACCTAAAATAAATCGTTTTTGAGTTATTTAAGATTTAGTTTTAAAGCGTATATTTTTCTTGATTTTAACGAGTAGCCTATGACTTTAAACGTCAAGTGATGTAAAACAATAGATCTGGCCATGTCATATTGTGACGCTTTGTTCAAAAAACAGCATCATTTTCGAGCCAACTTTGCGCTGTTTTTTGTCGACCATACGGAATATTATTAATAATATCAACTATTAGATACCACTAAAGAGCGAAAATAGGCGATATATTTTTATAAATACACTTTTTAAACCCTTAAGGGGGAAGACAGTATTTATCATATAGGAAATTCAAATAATTTGTTTTCTGACAGATAGAATTAAATTGTCTGGCTGTTTGACACTTAATGTCAAACGAAGCTAGATAAATCCAAGAAAAAATATACGTTTTCAAACTAAATCTTAAATAACTTAAAAACGATTTATTTTAGGTATAGGAACATGTATACTCAAAAATTAACGAATTGGAAAACCTTTTCACTAATGAAATAAAAAAAGTGGGTTTCCATTTGAAAAAAATTATTTATGATAATTTTTTAATCGATCAATTCCATGACAGCTACCGCCATTATTATATTATTTGAACAATTTAATTTTTGAAACAGATAGCCACATGTCTTCTCTTAATGTCATAGTGGCTGTGGTAATCACTAAATTTGAGTTTTAGGCTATACAATTTTTTTTCAAAGGTAGTTTTTTTCGTCCAAAAATTTTAAATATTTTTTTTTCTCAAAAACGGTTAATGTTAGGTATAGAGTGTTTAACATTAATATTCATGGAATTTTACAGAGAATTTAAGTATGTAATAAAAAATCGGGGCACCCATTTAAAATAAGAAAGTCGTTGTCAACTTCCGGTATTCCCGGAAGTGCCGATATATTGAAAATATTTTTAATCGATAGATCTCATTGTAAAACAATGATGTGCAAAAAATCTCCGATCTAGATGTTGTGGTTCTCTAGAAACTTCTAATGCAAACTCAGCCTGGGACATCCTGTATATTAAGCTCAATAGTTGAATTCGGGCAATGCCCGAGAAAAATACGCAAATCTAGTTTTGAGCAAGAAATATTTCCCAAACCCGAAAAATTAAATTTATTCGATTTTTTTTTGCTTATAGTGTGATTTAATTGCATTGGTTTCACTCTTTTTGGTTGGATTGGTTTAGTTATTTGGCAAGTTGGTTAGCGTGGTTATTTGGAGAGTGTTAATTTATTGGTTAGTTGGTTTTTCGGGTTTGGGAAATATTCCTTGCTCAAAACTAGATTTGCGTATTTTTTTCGGGCATTGTCCGAATTCGACTATTGTTGAGCGTTAACATACATATAAACTTCATTATTTTACAATAAATTGTCGTATTATAAAAAAGTAACGGCCTCTTGAAAGAAATAATTAACAAAATTAAAGAATAAACAAAAACACCACGAGCATCAATTAGAACATAATTAACTTTCCCAGTGTCAGATATTAAGCGAGACATTCAGAAAATTAAATTGCTTAGATAAAAATGACTAAACATTAAAAATATATGAAGAAACGGAGGAGACATTTTTAATAGCTTAATTTGTTTATTTTTTATTTCAGAGTAAAGAGGGTGTCAGATCCCCATCTGTCAGATCTCGAGACAAAGATAGGCCTGCAGAAACTGAAGGGCATCGCCGTGACCCTACCTGTAGCTCCCGGCATAGACTTCCAAAAAATGTAAGTTGATTAATACACCTTTTTACTTACTAAATTGTTCTTTAATTTTTTTGTTTTATTAAAATTATAAAAACAAGAAAAAATATACAGATCATTTATACCGTGCTGGCAACTGTTACTTTTGGGTCGGCATTTACATGTGTGGAAGTAAATCGCATAGGGATCTTATTAAGTCGGAGTGAGAGAAATGCGACCGACCGACGCGACGCGCGACGGTGTGCTGTTGCGGCGTTGCCGATACGCATTTCCCTATCAAGTAAAGTAAAATCACGTTCACAAACCGCTTATTTTTAAAAGACTTTTTTTTCAAGAGATAACTAGTTAAAATCATTAGACACACATTAGTACACCTTTCCCTAGAACTTTAAGTACTGACAAAGGTATTGATTGGGTCGACCGGTCAACTGCGACAAATCTGCTATATCCCCTTCCACGTCTCTTAGCGATGTGCACAGTTTCTCGGTTTATTTCATACGTTTGGCAACGTGTTTACTGTCCTCTCTTTGTTCAGTACATTATAAACGAGTTGTGCTCTTCTTACATACGGAAATCTCGACCCAAGACTAACCTTTGCCAGCCCTTAGTAGTCCAGTAAATAAGGACGCGAAAAGACCCAAGTCTTGGCGTAATTCGTCAACCTTGATTTTTTAGGCGGATTGTATACCTTTTGGGGAGTAGTTTTAAGGGCAGAAATTGTAACACCATGCTTTGGCCGAAAAAATGGCCCCAAATGGCCAAAAAATCAGTTTTTCGCAAATATCTGCCAAAATATGCAATTTACAAAATTAGAAAAAGCTTAGGCAATTATCTACAAAAAAGATCCTGACACTTTTTTTCGTAAAATTGTTCGTAAAAAGAAACAAATTTCGATTATTCGTAATTATGCAATTTTCTTTTGTTTATGACACTTTCCGGAAATCCCAATAAAGCGGAAAAGCCGCTCACGAATAGTATTTTTTTTTAATGGCTATACATATGTAGCGGATTCATCTCACCAAAAAATCCTATAGGCATGGGTATTTCGCCACTGCAAGAAAACCTACAAAATAAAATAGTTTTTTTTTGTAAACACTTCTGAATGAATCCCAAACGGAAAAAAAATATTTTTATTTTTTAAAAATCTTGACAAATAAGCTATTATTAGTGAAAATATGAATAAGTTTGTGAAAATCTGAAAATTTTTGGGCCAAGACCCTTAAATGTTCGAATTAAAGAACATAAAGATTATTGAAGAAAGGGAGATTTTCACAAATCTAAGATTTCTCAGCATTCATGGGACACAGGCCACAGAATAAATTTTAATAACGCCAAAATTATAATGAAAGAAGCGATAGCCTCTAAAAGAAAAATAAAAGAGGCTTTTTTAATACAACCTAATAAAAATAAATGTATTGCTCATGCATCTGTAGATGTGTAGATGTTAGCAAAATGTTAGTAATGTATGGCAATCGCTTCTTTGATTTTAAAGAACATAACATAAATAATCATAACATATACGTAAAAATTAAAAATAATCATTTAGAAAGTTTGGGGATTTTTGGTTTTACCTTATTAAGTAATTGTTATCAGGTAGTAATTGTTAATTTTGAAGTTTAACTTGATATAATGAATGTCATTTTAACAGAACGTCAACGGTTTTTGTAGACGTATCTGTTTTAAAAAAACTAAAGTGTTCTCGAGTAGTTGTATTTAAATATTTTAAATAGTTTTTTTCTTTATTCTTTGTATTTTTTTTGCTTCCGACGACGGAAAGCGATAAACTTTCCGAAACGTTAAGCATTTTTTTGTTCGTTAGGCAAATTTGTATGTCTGTAAACCTAACTTCTGACAAGTAGTTTCCGTTTGGGATTAACGCAGAAGTGTTTACGAAAAATAACTATTTTATTTTGTAGATTTTCTTGCAGTGGCGAAATACCTATATGGGATTTTTTGGAGAGTGTTTTTTTATTTAAAATGTGATTAAACAAGTACTTCAAACTTTCTGAGTTGCTTAAACAGACTCTAAGAACAACTGTTAAAAAAGTCTTGACAAATGAGCTATTATTAGTGAAACTATGAATAATTTGAACAGTAACAATTTCAGTAAAAGACTCTAGTGAAATACTAGATAAAATTTATCAAAATGTGTATAGAGTATAGATACACTAGAGTGGAATTAAAGTACATAAAACTTTTAAGGTGTTTTTGGGTTCGCTCAGTGTATTTTTATAGTTTTATGGCACGTTGCTGTGTAAAAAAGAACATGTGCATGCAAAATCTGGATGTAATATTGAATCTACATTATAAATACATGTTGAAATCATAAATCAGCATTAAATAAATATATCAAATTAAAACAAATCACAGTTGCCTGTGGGAACACCTACTTTAGATTTTTAAGTACACTTTGTTTTGACGTATTTAGTTAAAAAATTACAAAATATTTAATTTATATAAAATTAATTTGTTAATAAATACTTTAAAATCCCCGCTAATATTGTAGTATTTTCTTCAGTTTTGTACAAAATCACTTATAATACAAAATATATAAATTATTTTTAAACGTTGTTAACTTTTAGCTACGTATTGCTAAAAAAATCATTAAAATCGGCCTACTACAACAAAATATATATTAAACTTAAAAAAGCATCAAAATTTTAAGGTGCCCGGTTTTCGTGCCGATAAGTGTATCAATAATTGTAGAAAATATCAATAAAATTTGTTTATTAATTAAACGAATGAAAAATATAATGTTTCTATTAACGTTCTTATATATCACGCGTTTAAATCTAAGCGAAACGTTTCACAATAAATTTGCGTCACTTTGAAGAGCATACGTTTTTTTTACTATTTCCACGACCCTGTACAAAACATTCAAATAAACAAAGGCCGCATTCAAGAAACAGATATTTTCCTTAATGGCTTACAGATTTTCGACGAACGTAATACAATATAATCTTACTACGTAACGCGTACAGATATATATAAACTTTTGATAATAAATAATAAGTGAGAGAAAGAAGAAAAAAAGTACAAAAATAATTATCACACAAAAGCGTTGTAACTAAATAATATTAATCGTATTATCAGTGTAAACAATAAATTCACTACGTTTTAGTTATGTTATCATACGATATTTAAGAGTTCCATAACTTCTTCAGTCCATAAAATTACCTTCATCTCTAAATTATAGAAGTGCTTACAGAGCGATCAACAATGACATATGATGATATGTAAATCTATTCAGAATGTCATTTCCTATGAAATAACGTAAAAATGTAATGAAGATACATTTAAAAATCAGAAATTGTAGTCATTTCCGGTGAAACAAGAAGTGACCAAAACTAATTGAACGCGTCAATCAATCCTGATTTATGTCACATACATAAATATCAAATCTTTTTTTTATCCGAAAAAATAAAAAAGTTTTAGAACTTTTGAGAAGCACCCGGTATAAACGCACTGGAGTTTAATATTGTAACTGAAATACAAAAAAAAATACTATTTAATTTTAGTAAGCAGTAATCGAATAATAATAATAATCAGTAGATAATGGGGGTATTAAAAGTTCTTCATTGGAATTTGGGTAAATACCCAAGTTTATGAACCCGGTATATAATCTTAATATATTGAATATTGTAATATTGAATGATGTTTTATTAATGTAACAAAAAAACCTTACGTGTTACGACTTTTTTTTTGCCACTTTCGTGATTAGATAGGTTCATTCTACCACAATATCCTATTGAGCTTTGTGTTACATCGAAAAAATTTTTTTTTGTCGGCCTGTGTAATTTGTTGTTAAATTAAAATTATTGAATTGCTAATATCGCTTTTAAAAAATAGAGGTTAATGGTAGAAGGGTGAAAATTTAGGGTTGTATATATGTATTTTTTAATGCCACATCATAAAAAAATAAAAATTTTGTCCAAAAAATAAAAAAACTGGGGTAGACCACCCTTATGACAACAACCTATTCTCAAACCTACCAAATAAACATATAAAATTTCATCAAAATCGGTCGACAAAAAATTTAAAAAAACAACCCCTATTAAAAATAGGGGTTGATGGTAGAAGAATAAATATTTAGGGTTGTATGTATCTTTCAAAGCCACATGATTTGAATTGCTAATATCGCTGTTAAAAATAGAGGTTAATGGTAGAATGGTGAAAATTTAGGGTTGTATGTATTTTTTAATGCCACATCATAAAAAATAACAAAATTTATCCAAAAAATTAAAAAAAAATTGGGGTGCACCCTTATCACAACAACCTATTCTCAAACCTACCGAATATACATATAAAATTTCATGAAAATCGGTCAAGCCGTTTCGGAGGAGTATGGTAACTAAAACTATTAAAAAACCCTTTTAAGAAATAGGGGTTGATGGTAGAAGGGTGAAAATTTAGGATTGTATGTATTTTTAATGCCACATCATAAAAAATTGGAAAATTTTGTCCAAAAAGCAAAAAAAATTGGGGTGGACCACGCTTAACATATAAAAAATATAAAACAACCTATTATCAGACCTACTGAATATACATATAAAATTTCATCAAAATCGGTCAAGCCGTTTAGTTTGTATGGTAACAAAAAATTAAAAAAAAATTAAAAAAAATAGGGGTTGATGGTGGAAGAGCGAAAATTTAGGGTTGTATGTATTTTTTAAAGACACATCATAAAAAATATAAAAATACAAAATTTTGTCCAAAAAGTAAAAAAAATTGTGGTGGACCACCCTTATCACTTTGGGGTATAAAAAATAGATATAGTTTATTTGAAGTCAGTTGAAATAGATTGTGACTCTTAATTCCGGCACTGTCTTTATTGGCATCGTCGGGACAAAGGAATTAAGAGCCTCATATTAGATGTAAAGGGGCTCTTAATAAAGTAATTAAGTTCATTCACTAAAATCGCTAGTAAAGATGTAAATTTATCTCAATCGTATTTAATTAAAAGTCCATTATGTTTTGACTTGAATAATTACGAAGAGAAAAAAGTGGAAGACAGAGATAAAAAA